GAATGTTTTGCCAAAAAAATGGTAAATTGTGTATGGATGGGGCTGGGCAGATGTTTCCTCTGGGGAGAGAGGAGAAGTGAAATGGGTGTCTGGAGGAGAAGAGTGGGAGTCCTTAGGGGAGGTCACATGGAAAGAAGGGGGACTCAGAGTAGATGTGACTTCCTGGGGCGAAGAGCCCAGAGCTGACAGGCCATCTTAAGGGTGTGGGGCCGATAGGCCAGGTGAGGTGAAATGGGGTAGGAGCACACAGCAATATGAGGTATTCACGTTGCTCCTGTTTTGGGGCAGACCTGTCTTGTTGTGAGTAGGGTGCAGGGCAGACATTGGGCAAGACATGGGCAAGTACAACCACCCCCCAGAGAGGCTGTAGTCCGTGTGTGAAGGAGGGGGCTGGGACTCAGCAGATAAAGGGTCTCTGGAGAGCAGAAGCGGTGGAAGCTGTTGTGAGTGAGCAGGAAAGGGCTGGATTGTCCTGATAAGCCCACGGTGCCTCATGAGGTGTGAGGAGGAAGACACAGGCTGGGGTGTCCCTCAGGTGCAGAGAGGCAGCTCTGGGCACGCAGTGGAGATGGGCCTATCTGACAGTGTAGGGGACACAGCAGGGGGTCAGTAGAGAGGGATGGAGCACAAGCATGAAGGTTCAAATAGAGCATAATGGCTCTGGAGACTTGATGCTGCCCTGTTAGGAGAACACCTTCTGTCATAGCCAGGGTGCATGCAGTGCAGCCCCAGGTCTTCTCCAAAGGCAGCCAGTAGTGGATACATGGAGAGAGTGCAAGAAATAGGGCCAGCTTCAAAGGGGCTGTCCTTCTTTCTATCCCGTGTTAAGTGTGGGCTGCTCAGGGATTTCCTGGGTTCACCTTGCCCTGTGAAGGAGGGCTGTACGTCGGGACTGCTGGGGGCACGTCCTGTCCTACCATACCTGCTCGTCCTACCCTGCTCTGGTGTGGGCTGAAAGCTGGAGACAGTAGTGCCTTTTAAGACCTGAAATCTTAGGCTGGTTTAACAGCCTTTCCTTTCCTTTTTCCTCTGAGCTCATGAATACGGAAGCCAAATAGCTCCTGTGTGACAGCAGGTTGTTATTGCACTGCAAAATGCACCTTTCGTACTGGGATGTTGCAGTGAGAATATTGGGTGGTGGCTACTGCCAAGTATCATCATGAGGTAGAAGATACTCCTAGAAGAGGATTCCAAAGCCATTTGAGCTGAGCAGAGCCAATAGGTTTGGTCAAGGGAATCAGGTCTGAGGGTATCTGGACTGGACTGGGAGAACGCTCTATGCAGAGGCTTGATGGATTGTATGGGAGTATGTCACCCATCCTTTGAGCCAAGGACATCAACCCCTCAACACCTCGCACAGACCTCACAGCTTTTGCTGCAAGGTAAACATGGATCTGGAAAGTTAGTTTAAAAAAAAATACGATGCTCTGGAAGGGCTGCCGTCATAGTTTGACTATCTGAAGATGGATGCTTGAGATTATTTATTTATCAACTCACTGGTCAAATGGTCCAGAAATCTCTTGCTGTTCTTCCACCAATTTTTCTGGGTGCTGCGCTAGCTGAAGAGTCATAGCAAGAGTAAGCTATTTCGTAGCTTGGTGCTGCTGATACCAGACAGGTTATAGTAGGATGAGCTTGTCTCATCTCGTTGTTTTGCTGTTCATGAGCCAGAAATTTCTCTTGTGTTTAAAAACAATGCGTTTCTGTTTCTGGAAGAGGTATATACAGGGAAGAGCAACGAGGAACAATGATATAACTGGCTGGGGAATCTCCAGGCGCTTTGAAACTGACAGTCCGATGTTCGGGCAGAAGCAGAGACTATTTCACTTGATTCTTTCTAGAACAGAAATTCTGAATTGTGTTTTTGTTCTCTACTTTTCTTAAATAATTTCCTGTATTTATATCTTTCTTTCTTTAGGGAGACACCTACCCAGTGGCAGCCTCTGCCAGGCACAAAAGCAGCCATGTTGGTCAAAGTGAACAGTTTAAGGCAGATACAGGGCTCTTCAAACAGTTCACTTCAGCTGCAGAACACTCCAGAAGCCAATAGCCAAAAATCTCTTCCAAAACCAGCCGTATATGCTCAGCCTCAGTCCGCATCCCAGAGCCCTGGTGCCCCAAAGCAACTGCCTGTAGGAGAAGCCAAACAGTCCATGCAGATCAAAAAGACAGAGAATGGTGGGTTTTGCTTGGTGCTGATGAATGGTCCAACTTCTCAAACACCTCCAAGGAGTCAGACGGGAACTCCTCGGCCTGCATCCCCCAAGTATGCTTGCCCTGCACCTATATACGATGAGCCATCTTTAGAGTCTCCGATTTATGATGAGCCTCCGGTAGATATGGACACTGAAAGCGTCAACATGAATGAGACGTCTCCAGCAGAGTCGCCAAGCAATAGCTTAAGAAAACAGCTCCAATCAACCAAATTACTACAGCATCCAAGTATGCAACAGCAGCAAGCTGCAAAGAAATATGCAAGAAATCCTCCTTCCACTGAATACAGCCCAGCTGGCAGAGAATACATAAAACACATGGTCAATGTTGACCAATCTTCCAAACTTCCTCACTCTGCTGCCGCAACAGGTGATGGTTCTGTTAAACTGCCTGGTCAGCTTACTTCAAAGGACAGCTTCAAGCAGTCTTGGAGGATCTTGGAAGCTAACGTCCTCAAGAACATGGAAGCCCACCATAGTCGGCAGAACAGTCTTCAAACTCAAGAGTACCCAACTGCTATAAGCCATCAAGATTCTGGCTATTCGACTGGCCCTTCTCCAAGCTTGAGAAAAAGGAAAGGAAGGAGGCAAGGGACATGTCAAGGAAGGCCTGGCTCTGTGGGCAGCAGCAGTGAGCTCACGGCTCTGAATGATAAGTTGATTGCTGAGATGCGTGCTGTGGTGGGCAGGTCAGCGGCTTGCAGAGGAAGCAAAGCCAGCCTTGATGCTGAAACTCTGGAGAGTGGCATCCCTGCAGAGAGCAGCAAAGTCAGATTTCAGTCTGACCACTTGAAAAAATGCATCAACCGGAGCTCAAGGGACGATATCTCGGCTAGTAACAGGTCTCTGTATAGACAGGGTCTGGAGAGCAGGGGTAGCTTTCCCAGCGACACGGCTACTCCACAGGACACAATGAGGCAGAAGAGGACTTTTGAGAAAATAGATTCTTTAGAAAAGAATGTGACCAGCCAGACCAGTTTGGCTTCATCAGATGCTACACGTCACTCCTCTCAGGTACCTCCCGATCTATTCCAGTTAAATCACACACCTTTGCTAGACTGTTGTAGCGTTAAGCCAAATGCCTGATCAGACTTGGACGGGTTTAGACTATGTGCTGCACACAGAACATGTGTGTGCCTGCAGAGCAGTAAACCGGTTACAAAATTGTACGGCTTTGTAGGTGGAGACCCCATTTCAGGCCAGTGGCCTGGGTGGCATGAGAGGAGGGGAGCTTTTGGAAGTGTACCTGTTCAGCAAGCTCTCAGCGCTGCGGGTAATAGTTTCACAGTGCTGTATTATTTGTAGTGGGCCAAGAAGGCCCTGTTCTGCTTAAGCACTTAAGACAGACAGAACAAAATACCCTTTCTCTAAGGGCTTAAAGACAGATCATAGAGTGTAAAAACTCAGAAGAATCCAGCTGCTCAGATCAGGGGTCAGTCCTGCCCAGGGCGGTCTCTCTGGCAGAGCTACTAGGGGTGCAGGCTCTCGAGGGAAAAAACATAGCGACAGGTCTGCTTCTCCCAGTGGGTCCTCCCAGCTCTCTGCAGCATATGGACCAAGTCCAAGGTTGTATCTGAAACTTTTTTCCGATAACCTTTGGGGAAATTTTCTCCCATGGATTGGCCTAACTGCTTTTTGGGGCTTCCTTGCTTTATGCCTCCACAACACCCTGTGGCAATGAATTCCATGGTTTAATTATGCACAGTATGAAAAGGCATTTCGTTGGTCATTATACATTTACTGCCAGATTTTTCTGTTGGTGCACCTGAATTCTTTGGTGGCAAGGAACTGCAGAGTGTTTTCTAATCACCTCTGGCCACTTGTGCTCTTTAGAGGAGTAGCTTAACACTTGCTGCTGCCTGCCCCATTCCCTGTGCAGACTCCTCCTAGTCCCTTCCTGTGCAGGAGATACTCTGTAGCGTTGATCACCTTTGTAGCCCTTGCCCTTATATATATCCTTTTTGAGCTAGGGTGACCAGAACTGCAGGTGATACACAGGATGCAGGTTTTGTGACAGTGTTTTCTGTTTTTCAACACGTTCAGTGCAACGTGACAGTGTTTTCTGTTTTTCTCTCTCTCCCTTTCCTAGTAGTTCCCTATATTCCGTTTGCCCTTTTAACCACTCCTGAATATTGAACTGAAATATTTTCAAAACTGTTGAAGAAAACACTGGAGTCACTGTCACGTTGGAAAGAGCTATTCCCATCATTGTGTGTGCAACTGGAGTAATTTTTCTGTACCGTGCAACACTTTTGCAGAATTTAGTTTGCCGTCTTTTCTCTTGCTTGAATTTGAAAGAACCTTCTGCTTCACAGTTTTACTTCAGATTTAGTTTGTTTTATTTTAGATTTACTGCAAGTTATGTCATTTTACTCTTTGCTCACTTACGTAGTTATTTCACTCTTGTTCTGGACAGCCCCAGGCTTTTTTCTGTGGGAGTCAGCTGATAACAACTCTCCGTTGTGAAAACTGACTGTTTATTTTCACCCTTTGCTTTGTCTTGTGTCCTGTTTATTAGTACATAAAGGAATAATCTCTTACTGCACAACTTTTCAGGTTCTTTTAAGGGCCTTTCATGAAAAAACTTAGCAAATCTCATTGATCGCGTCAGATCACTCCTGTAGATTTGTGAGGTGTATTTTTTCTCTAAAAACCAGGCTGACACTTCTTCGTTGTATCACATTTAAATGTTTGTGTTCTATTCTTTATTATAATTTATTTTAAGGAATTCAGGCTTACTGATTGGTAGTGCCTTGGTTTCACCTTTTTAAAAACTGATGTCACATTTCCCCCATTTTCCATTTTTCTGGCACAGGGCCAGTTTAGGCTTACACGACTGGCATGTTGCAGTTAATATTGCAATTCAGCAATTTCATTTTGCAGTCTCTTTAGACTTCTTGGAAGAATACTATCTAGTCTGCAGGATTTGTTACACTTCGTTGCTTTGACAGGATAGAGCTGAGACTTGATGTCTTGATTATGCACAAGAGATGGTGGGTTGGGGATAGACTGTGAGTAGCCTTGTAAATGAAGAAAAATAATTCATGTGTAGTGGGATAATGAAGGAGAATAAAGTGGAAGCTGTAAGATGGATGATGCAGTAAAGGCATCAAGTCAATAAATAAAACTTCTATTTACAGAAATGCTCTGAGAAATGAGCTCCCAAATCTGGAGGGGAGGAGGCTGCAGAGAGTATATGCTCTCTCTGCTATGCAAGAGAGTAGGACAGAATTGCTGTCCAGCCTGAAAATGGCAGTGTGTAGACTGAGTCACAGGCAATGTCCTGTGATGGGCCTGTGTGATGGAGATGAGAATCAGGAGAAGAGGAAATTCATTATCTCAGAAGGGCGAGCAGAAGTTTTAGGACAGGCTGAGCAGAGGTGGATGTGTATTGTCAGCACAAACATGATAGCTGAGTAGTTTGTGAATGAGATTTTAGAGATAAATTTTAGCGAGAGAAGAAGAGAGAACCAAGAGCCTGTTGAACCTCTAGAGAGAGATAAGGAGGTGGATCCTCAGAAATACCATGCTGAAGGAGCAATTAGAGTGGTAGGAGGAAAACCAACCCAGGGCACAGAAGGTGGATTGAAGGAGATGGAGGATAGAGTGGGAAGAGAGGAATTGCTGGCAGTGATTTTTAGACAGTGTGTTGAGTGAATTCAGAGACAGTGAGGAGACAGAGTAACTTAAGGGATAAAAAACTAAAATGAAGTAGAAAAGCAGGAGAAATGATTGCGCCCCAGGCTGACAATAAGAAGTGGAATATGGTGCGTGCTAATGCTGTCATCCACATGTAGATACATGTTGGGAGTAAGATGGGAAGGGCTGGGCCAAACAAGTCTCTGCCATGAATTCAGTGGTTCCTCCTTATGAAGAAGGAAAACATTAACTTGCCCTAAGTGTTTAAGAACTAACTAACATGTATTTTGGGCTTGACTGTAGCCTGGGAGTGGAATATAGAGTGGCATGCAAAGAAAGGAAAATGCACATTGTACTTAATTTTGTTTTTGCACTGTAAAAAGTTTACAGGAATTCTGTTTATTTGTGTTTCTTTAAACAAAAATAAAACTCAGTATTATCTTACTTGACTTTTCCTACTGTGGTGGAGGTCTCCTTGGAGAATGCAGAGTGAAATGTGGATAGTTTATCACTTAGTTGCTCTATGTAGGAATTTCAAGTCTAACAGAAGGGTCTGTTTCCTATAACAGCTTGTTGGGTGTTTGAGTTTAAACATGTGTCCCAGGCTGCCACTTCTAGCCAAAACAGAAATTTCTAAACAGGACACATAAGTGTCTTTTTCTCACTAGTAGTTATTTCACATCATTTTCTGGGGATCAGTACTACCAAAGCTCTCATTACATAGTTCCTTAGAGATCGCTGGGGAAGAAGGGTGGACAAGTGCTGTTTTTAAAAATGACACATAAAGTCTGTGAAGACGGCGGCTCTTTGTCTCTGCTGTGTGTTTCTGTAAACTTGCAATCGGTGGACTTGTCTCTAGAGCAAATCAGTTTGATCAATAAGGAGTGCTTGTGGGGAGCAGCTGGCTCCAGTTCTCTGAGGAAAAAAAAAAGCACTTTTGAACAGTTATTGTTATAACTTGGAGAATGTTATGCCTGTCTTGGATAGGAAACATTGTAGGCAGTCCAACACAGAGGCATCTCTCAGCGTGGTACAGTGCTGCTCACAGAGGCACCAAGTCTGAAGTCACAGCCTGTATCTTCCCAGAGGATGCTAGAGTCGGTGCCTGCTGGGGTGGGCTGTAGCTTGTGGTGAAAGCCAGCTCCATTAGCAGGGGAAGCTCACTGAGACAGGTGTCCTGACGCCTTCACTTCAAATACACATGGAGTTGTATAATTTGAGCTCCTAATTGAGCATAATGTGGTTGAAAGCCCACTGACCCCCATGCAGCAGCCCACTGTTGCTCTAGATGTAGTTGTTCACAGCTGCACAGTATCCTGGGACTCCCTGGCATTCGATCCGCCCATCAGACCTTCAAATCTCAGTGATAACCTCCGTGGTCATTGATGTTCTGCGTTATGATTGCATTGTACTTGTCACCTTCCCTCAGAATTGTCCCTCTTTCTTCCTAAGACACCCATTGGGTTTGAATGATTATCCTATCTGAGTGTCAACCTTGTCATCCAAATAGATGTGTTCATGCTCCTACTGTGCCTCCCTCTTTTAGCTTTTCCTATCCTATTTGTGTGTCTGGCCAGTTTCTCCATAGAGAAGGTTGTGGTGGAATTGAGATGTGCATTTTGAATGCCTCAGTGAAGAGGCTTTCCAGGTATGGGGCACCCAAAGCTCAGCTGCTTCTGACAGTAGCTAGCCATGTCAATTTATTTTTGTGTCTTTTTCTTATTAGAACTTGAAAAAATAGTAAAGGCAGGAATCAGCTATGGGATTGTGTCAGCCACAAAAAACAGAGGCAAGAAGGAAACAGTTCTGATAGTCCTGCTCTCTGCCACCTCCTGGGCAGAGCTGGGCCCCAGAAGCCTGCCCAAAAGGAAGCAGGAGCTGAAGGACTGTGAGAAACTTGGTTCCTTGGTTCCTCGGCTGTGAGTTCCTGCCACAGCGCCACACTGCTTCTCTGGCAGTCAGCCCAGCTCCTGCTTGGGCTGTCACCAGGCGTCCTGGGGCAGCATGGAAAATCAGACCCATTTCTCCCTGTCCCAAAGTTTCCTTTGGGGACAGTGTCCATGTGCTACTGTGCCAGCCAGGGCTCTTGCAGAACTACTGATGTCAGCAACAGATTCTGCACAAAAATCATGTTTTGGGCAGATTTACAGCTTTGCAGTTGCGATTACCTTCACTCACTGTTATTAATTTTTCTGCCACGGTAAGGGAATCAGCTAAGGAGTTTTTAACACGTCTGTTCTCCATTGCAGCCCGGGACAATAGAGTTGGACCCCAAGCAGGAGAGTAGCAGCCAGCCTGGCGGCTGCGTAGGATATCATTTCCCTTACAATACTCTACGGAAGCCCATCTCTCAAAGCAGCATGGCAGACTGGGCTTCTAAAAACCTGAACATGCACACTCAGGGCATCTTCCGCCGAAGGATCTCCATCTCCAACATGCTCTCCTGGAATGGCGGCTCTATCAAAAAGCCAATGCTCATCACTAGCAACCGCACCATCAAAAAAGAAGCCTGTGAGATGTTCAAACTGGTGCAGAGCTACATGGGAGATCGTCAGACTCGCATGGATCGGAATCATGTGGCATTGGTCACGGTCACCAAGTGCTGGAGCATACAAGGTTTACGGGATGAGCTCTACATACAACTAATCAGGCAAACAACAGATAATACATGCTACCAAAGTCTGGCATGGGGCTGGGAACTGATGGCCATTAGTCTGGCCTTTTTCTCTCCATCACCCAAATTCCAGTCTTATCTGGAAGGTTACATCTATCGTCACCTTGACAACGATGAAAACAGTAAGTGCCTCATGCACGCCAGTGTATACACAGCAGCATTTTGGTGGGTTGTGCCATTTACTCAGGGTTGTCTGGTTTAGGCAAACAGGTAGTCACTAGCCAAAACTGTGGTTTTCATCACGGAGAGCTCCGCATGCTGGGCGAGTTCATCCTTCCCCTGCGAGATGCAGCTGCCCCCAGTTCATCTCCCGGCAGTTCTCACTTGTGTTTGGCAGAAGAAATGCCAGCCCTAGACTGGGCTCATCTCCCTGATCCACCTGGCAATAACAGCCCTGAAAAGAGCTGATTGCACTTCCACCAAGGGCAGAGTTTCCTTCGGTTCTCTGAAGACATGATTTACTTCAAAATGCCTTAAAGCAGGCAAAAAAAAAAAAAGGTTAAATGTTAGTACAGGCTCTTCTAGGGAGCCTTTGCAAAGGTTACAAACAGGCCTTAGAATGACAAATAGCCAGCAATCCTGAAGGATACTGGCTTATGTTGTAAACAGACTAGACTAGCCCAGCTTTGTCTGAAAAGGAAGGTGTGCTTCTACCTAACTCATATATCTAAGCATTACTGCAATTTTAAATTGCTACAGCATCCTGGTTTAAAAAAAAAAAAGCCAACTGCCAACCTGCAGGGTATTTATTGGCAGATTTGTGACTATTTCTGCAGTGCTTCTTAACAAAGCAAAGTTCCAGTCTAACAACACTTTTCTTTAGAGTCTCATGACTATATGAGGAATTTTACTTTCAAAAAATCAGAGCTTGTGACTTGCCCAGTCTCAAAGCTCTTATTCCCAGTCAAACTCCAAACATGAGTTCAAGTCTTCAGGGCAAATCTTCTTGCAGATCTTCAGGGCAGGTGCAGATGTTCTGCCCCAGCACATCTCTGCTCCCTGCTCGTGAGTGCTGCAGGCAGAGGTGGGTCCTGGGGGCAGCCATGGTGCTATGCCAACCTTTGCTTTCTGGTCTTATGCTTGTGGCCTTAACGTTAGGCCAGCACTGGTGGATATGCAACGCTGGTTTGGGTTTTCACGAGGAACCAAGACCGTTGACACTTCTCCCTGCAAAAATGTTCCCTCCAGCTACGCGTGGCCCAGAGACAAAAAATTGCCCTACCAGCACCAGGACCCAGGCAGTACAGTGAAGTAATCCAAACTATTTAAGTGGCTTATTCCTTCTGCTGATATTTAGGCAACACAAATTTGCAGCTTGGAGCCTCTTCTCAAATATTTGGCCATTCAGAGGAGTCACGTGACATTCTGGGTCCATGACTCTGGAGCATTTGGAGTTGGTTGTGGTACAGGATTTTTCCCTGAGCAGACCTCCTCATGCCATAGTGAGGCTGGCTGCTTTAGTTTACGTTTAAGGGCAATTCTGGGCTTTGGTGTCTAACAGCTCCACGTTATTAACGGCTTATTAACCCAGGGCTCCTTTCTGCCGAACTGAAGGGGAGGAGGGCAGGGGGCATTCAGTCTCCTTTGTTGCTCAGTTAACAGTGCTTTCAATTTTCAGTTGCCCAGCGCATCAAGGAGCTTATGGATCTGAAAAACAAGAAGAACTCAAAATCCAGGAAAAAGAGGAAACAAAATACTGAAGATGAAGGTAACGGGAGAAAGGACTGCACTGACCTCAGACGGGCAGGGTTGCTGAGCTCCACTGAAAATCAGACCGTTTCTTTAAGCTTATAGACATAGATCAAGGGAACTTTACTGTAGGTGCCCTTGTAAGAAGTTTGGACAGAGAATGGATCAGAGTGGAGCAGTGTGGGTGGCAGCTGGGCAGTGCATGGGGGCAGGTGCTCCTGGGCACAAGGGACAGGTAGAAGTGTGGGGCAGGAGGGACACCTGTCACTCACAGGCGGGACATGTATGAGGAGAAAAGGGTTTTTAACTTGGATGCAGACCTGGGACTGTAACCCAACCAGTGTGCGTGCTGCAGACCTTTCTATAGCACATTCAGTGCTACAAGCCATCTGAGACAGTATGTTGACAAGGACCTGTCTAAATTGGAGTATTGGATTTTGTAAGCCACCACTCAACTTGAGGACCTTCAGGGAGGACATCTGATAAACAGCACCGCCTTTTTCTCTCAAGTATTGAGTTCTTGTTCATGCTTCCTGGACTGTGCAGCCCCATTCCCCTTGTCCTGCCCCTCTGGGCTGGAGCAGCCTGCGCTGACCCAGAAATGCCTGCAAAGTGTGCGGAGGTGATTCCTTCGGGCCTCCAAGCCAGCTGGGAGAGCTGGGCGCTGCTGCTGCAGAGCAGGGTATGGAGAAAGTCGAACTGGCTGTGGGTAAGGCAGTGCTGGTCACCTCCTGGCAGCAGCAAGGAGTGCACGGCTGGGATGTTGTTGGCAGGGGCAGGTTTCCCTGGCCATTAACACTAGATTACGTAGCTGTACAAATTTGATCTAGCAGTCTAAGGCTTGCAATAGCATCTCTACTGAATGAACAAGAGCTCACGTATTACTCTAGCCTGAGATTTTAATGCTGGCTGCAGGAGGACAGATGATGCTTTCTCTAGCCTAAAACGTGCCTGGACAAAGTTCATTCAAATTGTTATATTTTTAGGAAACTTGAGCCAGCTCTGTGAATTCATATCAGACAGCAGTTTATATCGTATGGCCTCAGTGTTTTTAATCTGGTTTTGGGAGCCCTGGAGTACAACTTGCTGCATTGTTGAGCCATACCTCACTCCAGCATGCAGGTGTGTGAAACATGGAAACCGCAGCTGCGCTCTCCAGAGACCTGCAGTGATTTCCATGTGTCACTGTTTCTTAGAGTCAACTGCAACTCTGGCAAATGGCTGAGGAGGCCCCTTGGTTAAAGGCTCCGTTCTCTTTGCAGTGAGAAAGCTTCTATCACTTGCCCTTTGAATAGGCTGGCTCCTGTGGGATCCAGAGCAGAGACCTGAAATTACATGGAGGAATTATGTTTCTGTTAGGAATATGTCTTTTTCCCTTCCTGTTCAGACCCAGAAGAGCTCAGCCAATTCCGAGTCTTTGAAAAGTCATTTTGCTTGTGTTCAGAGGGACTTTGATATCTTTATGGGACAAGTCCCCCTGCGGTTTTCTCTGTGCAGGGTGCGCTCTGTCTGTAGGCTGAGCAGACTTTTCTGTGCACTTGCCTGTCTATGTTGCATGTGCTGGAGTTGCGCACATGCCAGAGGAAGCCAGAGGTAGTTTTTATTTTTATTCCACCTCAGTGGAAGCCAGAGGTAGTTTTTATTTAAAAACAAAATATTGGAAATCACATTAAAAAGGCACAGCAGGAGAGCTTTATTAAGTTTCCAGAATGAAGCACTTGGAAGTCAGAAATGCCTGTGTGGCCTTAGTGGGGTATCTAATGACAGGTCACATGCTGTTCCCTTCACAGGACCCTGTCTGCTTTATCACACACAAAGGAGAGCTCTGGGAGCAAACTGGTGGTTTAGAATAAATGAGCTAGAATAAAAGGCTCCTGCTAGCTTGTTGCAAACATTGTAAGGTGTGCAGCAAAGGAGACTCAGAACAGGAGGAAGAGAAAGGGCTGGGAGGTCACTTGAACCAGATTTTTCATGAGTGACTAGTAACAACGATGATTTTTTCTGGAGTCTGACCTCAGACTCTAGGCTCTGATTCAGACAAGTTTTGCACATTTGGAGCTGCAGCTGAAGTAGATGGGAATCCTGCTTGAACATGCATCGTGCTATCTACTAATGACTGAAACGGTCAGGCTTTTCCTCAGGATACCTGAGTCTGCTCCATCTGCACCATTTGCCTTATTTGTAAGGTGTAGGTATAACATAGTTCCCTCGCCTTGCAAGGCTGTTGTGAAAAGAAATTCGCTAGGAGCTGTGAAATACTGAGATGCTTATAGATGCTGTAGCCGTAATGTAACAGAGAAATCGATAAGGATGTTAACGATCTGTCTTCAGAATGATTGAACAGTATATATGTAGGCACGTATATAAGTCTTTCAGTGAAAAACAAAGGGAATTAAAACAGTGGGTTTTTTCCCCAGCTTCCTTCAGTGTAGAGGCTTGTAAGTAAACACCTGGATGAATAAACATCATATCATCAGATGTGCACCCAAAGCAATCATTTGGAAGTTTCCCACACTTACCTTTGCAATCTCCATCTTTTAACATAATTTTCTGTGAGTGAAGGAAGTAGGAAGGTGGTGGGAGAACCTTTCATGAAGCAATAACTGACTCAAAGGCAGAAGAATAAAAGGTAGAAGTAAATGATCTGTTTTCACAAGGAGGATTGCCTAATGATCCTGGAGGAATATATGCTGGGGTTTGGTCTGAATCTGGAAAAGGAAGCAAATAATGAGCTGACAAAGCTTGGTGTTGATACTAAATTATTCTGGTTGTAAAAACTAAAGGCACAGAAGGATCTCGCAAGGGTGAGTTACTGAGTGATCAAGCAGCAGAGAAAATTATGTGTCAGTAAAAGCCAAGTATCGTACCTGGGGAAAATATCCTTAACTGCACATGCAGTGACAGACTCTTACTTAGCTGCTTCAAATGGGGAAAGAAGTTTTGGAGTTACTGTGTATAAATTTTGAAAAATTTATACACAGTGCTCAGGAGCAGTCAAAAAACAAACAAAAGATCAGGAGCTTTTGGAAAAGGGACAGAAAGCAAACCAGCACCAGCACTCGGCCCCGGCGCTGCCTGTGCCCTGCTACATCCAGCCCGTGGCTCCCTTGAGGGCCGATCAGCGTGGCCGAGTGCCGGCCCTGCAGTGAAAGGCTCAGCAGATGAGGACGTGGAAGAGAGAAGAGGGGAGAAGGTCCGTGAGCTAAAAGAAATTGCAAGTTGTCTGGGGGAAGTGAGAGGAAAAAGATCTCTCAATGTTTGTCACAGCAGAGGACCTGGAAGCCACGCAATTTTATTAGCAGGCAGCAGGTTTAAGGGTGCATTTTCCTGAAGCACAAAATTAAACTGTAGGAGCTGGCAATGCAGGGCGTTGTGCAGGTCAAGAGTATAAACAGGTTTAGGAAGAAATGGGACAAATTCCAGGAAGGCAGGTTGGTCAGTAACTGTTAATGGTCCAGGTGCACTACTGCCTTAGGATATCTCCCACATGCTGTTAGCTGGGAGATTTTAGCAGGGGAATAATCATTTTCTATTCATCCTGTATCTGTTTCTCTTTCTCCTGCTGGATAGATGCAGACTGCTGACACATATGGACCTTTGGGCTGATGAAGTATGGCAGTTCCCATGTAGGGATTGGTGACGGAGTAGAATTACTGGGACGCAGAGGAATGTGCTCACGGCATGAGGAGGGGGAAAGAAGGGGCTAAGACACCGCTATGAAGCGGAGGTCCCTGTTCAGATCTGACTGGGGGGCGTGGCACCAGTGCAAAGCCCAGCTGGGCTACCCGTACCAAAGGCTTCTAATTATGCCAGACTGTATGAGGCAGTGATAGATCAGAGAAATACTGAGACAAGAGCTTCTGCTGGGCTGAAATACTTGTCCCATAGCTGGGTTCTGAATCCACACTGTTTGCTGCATTTTTTTAAGAGATTTTTTGGCAGGAAAGCATTTGAGTCTGTTCCAGAAGGTACGTTCCTGCGTGTGTGTTGCCTGGATTTTAACTTGTTATAAAAGGAGAACTTCTTTAAGAACTTCTTTGCATGTGTTTTTAGGCCAGCACATGGAAAAATATTTTCCTTTGCAAACTGTTTTTCACTGTTGTGGGTTGTTAGTAGCCTTCTGTTCCTGAGCTCCTGGGGCCACTGTGGTACCAGAGGAAATAACAGATCAACTTGGATTTCACAGATTCATGATGTGCTCAGAGAAGTGGAATTACCGTTAGTATGAGCCCTTTTCCAGTCTGCGTAGGCTGAAACGACCTGTGCCGACACCGATAGGTGTAAGCTGGGGGTTGAGGACAAGCTCTGTAGCAGTCTTGTTAAGGAGAACTGACCATGCACGGTGAACTAAATGCCAGGAGCAGGTTTCTAGCTGAGAGTCTCTGAAAGCAGCCGGGTGGCTGAGTCAGGTAGCTGGTTTTGAAAAACGGAGGCTAAGGCTAAATTCTGCTCCTTTCCCTAGCGTTTTCCCTCTCATCTCACCACCCAGCCTCCTGGCCTTTCTCGGTCTTCCTTGTACATCTCACTGTGCGCATGCCCTGGGAGCCATGAGAGCTCAGATTGGGGCGAGTGACTTCCACTAAGCAAGAGGGAGGCTAAAAGTTGCATGCTTAAGGCGCAAGTCCCCTGCGTGGAGCCATTCTGCTTGTGCCGGCAGCGGTAGAGAGCCCAAATCACCTCCATTCCTTGGGGCTCCCTCCAGTTTCTGACGATTCGGGTCCATGGGCAGTTAGAGGTCCAGCCCTCTGTGCACAGGGTGAGTTTAGTTTTCAGGCTGTTTGCTGGAAATTTCAGCGGCTCCGCTTGCGACCTTGGCAGTCCCCTCTGGGTGAGAGGCAGTAGCTTGACCGTTGTTGGGAACGGGATTTCCTCTCCGCAGAAAGCGCGGGATGTAGGGTTTAGCCTTTTCCCAGGATCAGGGAGCTTTCTGGGAAAGAACAGAACAAACTTCAACCAAACACATCTTGCTGCTACTCGCACGTGCCAGCAACGCAGACTCGCTGAAGCAGCCAGTTCCTTTGCAAACCTTGGTAAACTTTTAGTGCGATGAAGGGTTTCATGGTCGAACTGCAGTGTGAAAAAATATTTCCTATGATTAGCTTTGGATGTGCTGCCTTCTGTGTGTTTTTTCTGATGCGGAGACAAATTCCAGTCTCACTTCTTCCCGTTCATTCCTATATGAACCAGATAACACTTCACATCATGGTGTGTCTGTACACCACCATTTTAACAAAGAAGCAGTAACCTAAAATACTGAAGCATTACAAAACAGCTTTTCTTTCATTCTTAAACCTTCCGATTATAAATCGTGCCTGGGATTTTTGCATATAAAGAATATTTTGCTTCAGATATTCCCAAGAGAGAGAAATTCTTAAAAGGGACTTTCCTTCTCTTTGCCTGTGGAAGCAGGGGATGGATGCTGTCCTACCTCCTTTTGCATTTCTCCGGCATAACCGAGGGGCTGCACTCCAGAGGTTACAATCAAACACATCTGTCAAGGTGGGGGGGCCTATTTAGTCTTGGGGATACAAGGACTGTGAGTTGTCTGCTGGCTGGCACAAGAATGGGAGAAAGCACGTCTCATCTTTGTTATCCTGCTTGGGACAAGCTTGTCCTCTCTCCATATGAGAAGATTCAAGGAACTCCAAGATCCCGACTAGTTTACCTAAACTACAGAGTGCATGAAAGGCTGATGTGGAATAGGCAGCATCTGACCAGAATGTAGATTTTAAAAGCCACAAGTATTTTGAACTCTGCTGCAAGCTTTGAGTCTGGCAAGGAATCAAATAGGGCAGATCTATTCACTGCTTTCAGCAAGCAATTTGGGTTTGACTCGAAAAAGAACAAAAGGCCAACGGTTTTGGAAAAACTCTCCCAGCAATCCAGGCTCTGTCAGTGCAAATATTTCTCTTGGTGTCATGGGGGGATTAGCTCTGTGAATCCTGGCTCCGCTCTCCCTCAAAGTTCGCTGAACCAGGCACAGCAAGAGCAACCGTTCTTGTGGAGGGCCACAGCTTTTGTGGGGAAACTCCCAAGCTCTGGAGCGACATTTTTTCTTCATATCGCACAGCGCACGTGAATCTCATGTATGAGGGGGAGTTGGAGGAAGCTGGAGCAAAGAAAGTAATGAAGCTTTCTGTAGGGGTTTGGGAGGATAGCCCTCTGCTTTCCTGCACCTCTCCTTGCAGTCCTGAACTGACTCTCCGTGCTGATACTGGCTCTCCAGCCCTGGCACACCCTTCTCCACTGCTGCCTCTTCTACTAGCCCAGTACTTCAGCTCACCAGTCATAAACAATTTGTTTAAAACACTTGAACAATTTTCCTTGCAGGAAGCTGGCTCTGGATGCTCTTTTTTCTGAGATCTAGCAATATTTAAATACTTAGTCCTGTGCCTGCGAGCCGCATAACCCTGGTTGTGCAGCAGGGAATGAGAGTTCATGCTCATATGCGTGCCCAGGCTATGAATGCCGAATGGTGCCTTGCTTTGAGTCAGGACGGGGCCAGAGCAGCGGCTGCCCGTGTGTGCGAGGTTGCGATCCGCAGGAACGATGGCGGGAGGTGCGGAGCTATGAGCCTCGAGTCAGAGCACAATCCCTCTGAGCCCAAGCACGGACTTGCGCTGGCATCACCTGCCACGGGGCTCTGGGACCAGGAGGGTTCAGCGCGCTCTGGGTGCGATTTTTGGCAGTCTCTCTGCCCTGCCTGCAGAACAGGCTGTGCAAAATGGGAATGTTTATGCAGTGCTGTGCTGGGGCTTTGTTACAGCTCTGGTACTTGGGCTCCATGGAGAGTATACAACGCCCATGGGCTGACTGCTTATTTTTGCTTCTTCCCACTAGGTTTGCCCATCAGCACCTATGCCAAATACTGCTACCGGAAACTGCAGAAAGTAGCTGTCACTGGAGGCAAAAAGGTGAGTAGCTGCCTCTGCTCCAGGGCCTGTAGAGTTGCCTATGCATAGTCCTTGTACAGCGATCTGCTTTCCAGGCCTCAGAGAAATCAGTCCCATGACTCTTGGAGGTCATTGCTGATTCAGTGATGGAAAATGGAGATAGACAGAGCAGAGGAGGCTTGTTCAAGGCTTGTCTCCCCCTGAATGTGTGGGCAAGGCTGCTGCCCAGGTCCCACGATACCTCCTGGCAGAGAGCAGTGCCTGCCATGCTGGGAGCTGCATAGCTGGATGACCACCTGCCTTAGGGACTTGGAAGCCAGACTTGATGTTTAACTATCCCTGGGATAATAGGAGCTGTCTGTACAGGGGATGGCCATAATGGAAGGAGCTTGGTTTCCTCAGGGGAGGAAAGTCTCCCTTGGCTCACTCAGAGCTTATAGGGGCCTGGTCTTGCAGCTGGCTTACTGTAGAGTTGTCCATTTTCAGTTCAAAAAAATCTTGCAGTAGAGATGTCTGGCACAGAGAGGAGCCTGTGTGCTTTGTGTTATCTGGAAATCCCCCTCCTCCCTTTCCTCTGCACAGTTCTGTGCCGGGCTGCAAAAGCTGGCACACAGCCCCAGCTTGTCCGTCCTAGGTCTCTCGGCCAGATCTGGTCTTCTTTTATTTCTGCAAATCCCTCTGGGGCCTCCCTGCCATCTGGACTGCATGTACAGCGAGCGAATAGCTGAAATACCTCAGGAGGGGTGAAGGCTTCCGGCATTCCCATGGGGACAGAACAGGAAATGTCCCGACACGCATTGCACACAACTGCAACCCCAGCCAGCTGCCACCCGCCAAGGGGTCAGTGAGAGCTTTGAGGAACGGTGCTCTCCCCCTTCCCTGCATCTCACTGGGCTGCAGCATTATTAACCAACGGTCACTGTGCTAGACAGCCTGCCGTGCCTACGATAAGACTTTGTGTTTCCCGCTCCCTCTGTGAGATTAAAAGTTCCTTTCAAGTGTCATTGCTTTGCAGAAGCAACATGTCCCAGATGTCCTGGGTGGCACTTGGTACCTGCTTTTCAGAGACATTTAGTGCCTTTGAAAACTAAGCTTCTCCGGGTCTTAAGCTGGACCTGGAATTGGACATACCTGGAATTCTCCTCTCCAAAAAGGCTGTTTTTCCACTGTCCTGTGGCCATGCGTTTGCGTGACGATGTACGCGTGCCCTCTGCTGGCCTTGCCACAGCTCTGGGACAGGTTGGGCCCTGCTTCTTCCTCCTGTCACACCTGCACAACAGAGCCACATCAGGTCTTGGCATGGATGGAATATTTCCCAAATGCAGAGGTCAAAACACAGCAACAGAATCTGAAGGCCAGACTCTCCAAAGCTGTCTCCTGCCATCAGGCAGCAGCTTTGCTGCTCCTTTTCAGCCTGATGATTTGAACCTCCCTGATTTTAGCATGTGCAGGCTGCAGAGCAGAAATTGTGCTTGGCGAGGGGTTCCCGGGAGGCCAACAAGGTGGCATGCACGCCATCAGCCCTCTCGACCCTTGGCCACTCATCATCCATAGGTCGTTCTTCTGCCATGGGCCAGCAATGCTGTGCTGCACCTGTACTGAGCTCTTCTCTGTCCTCAGGGCCTCCGTAAACCAACAGTGGAAGAGATAACGCATGCCAGAAATGCCATTGTGACACCATCGCTCTTCGGCAGCTCTCTGGAGGAAATCATGTTACGGCAGCAGGACATGTATCCAGGTAACAAGCTGCCTTGGGTACAAACACAGCTGTCACAGCAGGTCCTGGCATTAGGAGGAGAACAGACTGAAGGGATTTTCAGGTAAGCTTTTGAGGCTCTATTATGATCCACTCACACATTGGTACTCAAAGTGAAGAAATCAAGATTGACTTCCAAATGGTTCCCTTTCCCTGGCAATAGCACCCTATTCCAAATTGGACAAAAAATAACCTTTGGCAAGGGTTCAGGAATCACCTGTTAAAGTAGCATTAGTCTATTGGCGTGCATTAGCACAGAGGGGAGATTATTCTTTGTAGATATGATCAAAACTACTTATGACAGCCAGTGCCCAGGCACAGCATTCAACTTTTATCAGCTTAAACAACTGCAGTTGGCCTGCTCAGGGAAAGGACAAGCTCTTGGATTCCTGGCTGAGCCCATGGCTATAGATGTTTCGTGCAAGCGGTTCTTGTAGCATTCTTGCTTTGCACGGTAGGTTCCTTTCCACAGTTCTGGAGAAAGTCTGCGCCTCACCTGTGAGCCCTGCATGCTCCACTGCTGGCGGGATGCTGCTGCTTAGAAATGGAGTGATTGCCTGGTAGGTGGAACTCTGACTTGATTGGTAAATATTGGCACTGAACAGGGACCACGTATGGCATAGTACCATACTACTTGTGACTTGCAGTGTCCCTTGCAGAAAGTAAGGCCTTAGAATAGGAAGCTTCTTTCTTCTAGATCTCTAACCTAAAAAGCCTTTTGTCACCCAATGCTCTTCCTCTATGGGGAGCTGCTACCCTGCTCTGCCCTCCAGGTAGGTAGTTGCCATAGGCCTACCTATTCACAAGTGAGCCTGCAGGGGGTTAGTCCCATCACATGGAGGAGACATCCCTCTGCCTGTCTCATCCGTGGAACCAGGTCATCGCTCAGCTTGTGGTGGAGCATCTTCCAAAAGAATGAATTGTTCACTGTGTTTGGTCAGTGTGAAGAGCTGAACGTCTCGTACAAAGAGAATGGATTCAACAGAAGAGGCCAAAGAAGTCTTGCCCCAGCACAGTGGTTTAGGCTTGTATCATTGATCTAAACCAGGCCTGGGGCTGAGACCGGGGATCCCGAATCCCAGGCAGGTGGATTTAATGGGCTGCACCTCTTCCTCTATGCCTTGCTTTGCTCTGCAAAGGACTGAATGTTGCAGACACCTTCCTGGGCAAAGAGTTCCCAGGTGTGAGGCTGAGGGGCCAACTCCTTCCCTCCTGGAGTTTGGTGGGTCAAAGGCTCTGGATGGCAATGCTCTGCCTGCCTCTCCTCCCTATCTTCTCCCTGCAGAGGCGTTCTGAGTGCTTTACTGAGTGTCAAGGACTTCAGTGACAGCTGCAAGGGTGGAGCATGTCCCAAGTAGCTTGCGTTGCACTTAATGCAGTAGCCCTAAATGTAGGTTTGCTGCTCTTTTGCCTGCTTGCAATGGGTAATAAACACTTGAGAAGGAGTTATAGGTAATTATCATGTATGCAATCTCCCTGCTGAAGGGCAGACCAGGGGCCAATTGGAGCACCCTCCAGTGACTGAATGTAATTATGAAAAGATGACAATCTGTCAACTAACACTAGTTCATCAAATGCAACACTTCAGCCTTGATGATGGACAAAACTCAGGGTATTCTGCTCCTGGGTGACCACATGAGGATTCAAGAGAGACGAAGAATCCATATGGTCAGTATAGGGGTTCTGTGTTTTTGTTTTTTGGGTTTTTTTTTTAAGATTTTTGTTAATTTGTTAACTGTTACACTTGATTTAAGGTAACCAGCAAAAGACCTGACTTTGCCTTGACTAATTTCTACTTAGCCAGAGTAGTCCATATCTCTAGGCTGAGAATGCCACAGAGAGGCGCAGTTACAGAAAATAATCTCTCTGGAGGACAAAATGACAGTTGGTGTCTGAGTCAGTGGGAATGGGACAAGCGTTTCTATTATCCCCATTTTGAAGCTGTATCTAGAAACAAACGACACGTTCTTTCCGAGGACCTGCTTCTGTAGCTGCTGGCACATGCTCTCTTCTCCACGGGACCCCAGGAGCAGTCTCGGAGCCATGGTGTGCTGGCCAGCTGCCACTCCGGCAGTGTGTGTGCTCTCTGAAGCACCCTTGCTGTGTCTCTGTCTGCAGGATACCTGGTGACATAGATGAAGTCAATGCATTGAAACTGCAAGTGGATCAGTGGAGAATCCCAAGTGGCCTCAGTGACCCCAACATCCCAGGTATGGGAACGCTGCGCGCTTGTGGCATGGCCTCAGCCATGGTACGATGCTGAGGGGACGGGAAGGGAGCAGCCCAGGAGACGTGCCACTGTTTGGGGACGGGTACACAGCGCTGCACTCAGCGGGGTGGGCAAAGCTGTCTTCACCAACAGGGCTTCTTATTCTTTGCCTTTCTTTTGCGTCCCCAAGTACTGCCCGCAGTAAAGCGTTGAGGCGATGGGGATCGCTGCCTCCGGCTGTCCCTGTCAGAGCTAGGCGGTGCGAGCCGGACAGCATGCAGAGTGGCTGCGAGTGTTCAGGAGCAGCACTCTTTCTCCGGAAGTCTCTGATTCACCCTTTCCTTTAGGCAGCCTCGGAGCTGCTTCCTGGCGAAGCAGGTAGATAAGAGCCAGCATTTCCCGCTAAGCAGCTATTTTGCCTGTCCAAGAATTTCAAAGCCAGGACTCAGATAAGGTGAAACATAACCTTTCTCTGTCATCTGGTTCCTGAGGTGTTCAGTCTTGCTGTCAAATTTGTCTCTGCAAAAAAGGTGGAAGAGAGCCTTTCTTATCAGTGACACCTGAGATGTGCCTGCATTTGTTAGCATTGGCAGCAGTGCGGCAAGAAAGAGCCCATTTTCCTTTCACACAAGCAGCACTGGTGACGTTCTGTGCTGCCTCCTCACCCCGTTCTGCAGCCTTACTGAGCATGATGTGGCTTGGCTTGCTGAGCTGTTGCTCTCAGACTGTGGCATGTAGCCAAAGACACAGCTCCGTGGCCTTGTCCTGCGCCCAAACGCAGCGGGGAGTTGACCAGAGCTCTTTTCTCATGCACCTTGCTTTCTGCCCAGCCTCTCTTCTCAAGCTGTGGTATCGGGAGCTAGAGGAGCCCGTAATCCCCCAGCAGTTCTACAAAGAGTGCATCAGCAACTACGAGAATCCCGACGCTGCTGTGGCCGTGGTGCAGCTTTTGCCAGAGCTCAACAGACTGGTCCTGTGTTACCTCATACACTTCCTGCAGGTAGGCAGCCCCCGCAGTCCTGCGCTCCTCCACTGCCGGCCAGGAGCCTGGTGCACAAGGCGCCCAGCTAGTGGGACAGTTACGGTGTGCCATTAGCTGAATTTTAGGATCTCTCACCTGTATTTAAAGTGGGATTGAATGGCAGTGGGGATAGGATCTGCTGGCCTTGTCCCTTATGGGAGCTATAAACTGTGTTGGTTCCTGGTCTTGTGGACTGTGGGCAGGGCTGGTCACAAAGGGACAGCTTGGGAACTGCAAGACATTCCCTGTCTGCAGAAGCTCCCGCACCATCAGCTGTGGCAGAGCGCAGAGGCCTTCCCCTATGAGGGTGGCTGTTGGGGCATTTCTCTTTAGGGAGGCCACACCTCTACCGCTCTTGTACCTTTTGTTGGGCCGCATGTTTGGAGTCTCTTGTCTTTTTCCACTGCTCCAGCTGAACCTCCCCTTATTGCCTGCAGATCTTTGCTCAGCCATCGAATGTGGGCAGAACAAAGATGGATGTGAACAACCTGGCCATGGTGATGGCCCCCAACTGCCTGCGTTGTCAGTCTGATGACCCTCGGATTATCTTTGAGAACACACGCAAGGAAATGTCCTTCCTTCGCATGCTGATAGTGCACTTAGACACAAGCTTCATCAAAGGACTGGTTTGAGGCGCTGGCCCTGCGGTATAGGACGCTGGTCTGGGGAGTCACTGGGTGTCCGATGTCTTCTCCCCTCCATTTAGATTTCTTCCATTGTCCTTGCTGTTGTCACACTCTGGGTTAGCCCCGCGCATCCCCCAACATATGACCTCGAGGACAGGGACTAGACAACCCTGGAAAGCTTGGGCTGTTCTGCAATAGGACCAAGAAGTCCTTGGACATGCCAGGCCAGATTCAGTGGTTCCTGGCCCTCTTGTGTATGTCAGAGGCGGGGCAGCCCTCCTCTTCAGAGCTGCAGGACTACTTGCTCCTTGACAGGGCTGTGACATCCATGAGAAACTGCTACCTGGGGCAGTGAGACTCTCCCGTCTCTCTTCTGGGGACAGAGTTGACTTCAGGTAGGAGAACATCACTCCCATGCTGTGGCATGAGGTGGTCCTGCAGGAAATACTGGGGATAACTCCACTGGTATGGAGTCAGCCTCGTTCACCACTGCAGACTGTTGGCTGGGAGTTTCAGGGTAGTTCTGGTGCCCCTTGATGCTGTTGGAAGAGGGTTGTGAAGGTGCAGGGTCTTTGAGCCTCTGCTACTGGGTGGCTGGACAGGCAGACATCCCACGGCTGGAACCTCATACTGCAACATCTGTTTCACCTTCAATTTTAGGTGGCCTTGGAGGTGCACAGCTCCTGTGGCTGCTTGAGGATGGGTCAGTGTGCAGGACAGGCAAGCCCTGTGCTGAGCTGGACCAGCCCTCTGCTGAGCTAAACCAGCACCCACCCACCCTGTGGGGCCTGGGGACAAGGGAAGGGCCATGCACTGGGATCAAACAGATGTGACAGCCTCTTTGGCAAAAAGGCCAGCTCCTTGAAGGGGTAACCCCAGCCAGCCTCGCAGCTCCTTTCTGCCAGGCCCTTGTTACACAGTCTGTATGAGCTGACACCGAGCAGCTGGGAATGTGCCGGTAGAGCTCAGAGCAGCCTCCATAGCTCCTGCACCCTCCCTTCCTGGCACCAGGTATACGAGCATGTCGGGACTCTGCTGGGTTTGGCCAGCCCCAGCCAGGACCTGTACAGAGAGCTCTGCCAGGAACTGAATACTGGCTTTGCCCACCCTCCTGGTTTGTCCCAGGCCTGGACACAGCGAGAAAGACCTTTGACAGTAAGAAGCTCTGTTGTGCTCAGATTGCCTTTCCAGGCAGAGCAGTAGCTTTCCCACCTGCTTGTGAAATGACGTTGCCTGGAGTCAACAGTGGCACCCGTGTCCTTCCTAGCAAATTCCCACTGGAGTTGCAGAGGGGTCGGGAAGGAAAGGGAAGGGAAGAGGCAGGTCTGAGCAGCTGATGGGCTGTGGAGCCTGCATAGGGATGGTGCCAGCCAGGCAGCTCGGTTTCCTCATTTGCTATTAAATGCCTGGGGCTTTCTGCATGCCACCAAGAACATAGACACGGCAAGGAGAGTGTCTTTCGGAGGCAGTGCACAGGTCTCCCCACAGCCTCCAGATACTGTTGCATGTTCTTTAGCAAGCAGCAGCTTCAAATTCTGTGGTATCTTGGTGTGACTCTTCTTTTCCTCTGAAGCATTTTCTCTGCTGGAGGCAGGTCTGCTGCAAGGCCAAAGTTGTGTGTTAGCATTGTATGAACAATCCCAAGTCTGCTGGTAGCATGCAAAGTTGCATTTATATTTCTACATCCCATGTCAAGTGGGGACATGAGATCACCCTCTCCTGATTGCAGTGGGGAGCTCAGCCCTGCCAGCAGTCAGGTTTAAAGGTTGATGCCTGAACCAAAGGGTCAGGCCCAAGGTGCCATATGTAGAGTAGTGCCTTGCACCTGCTGGCATTTCAGTGTGTGTAAATGGGGGTTTCCCGAGCAAAGGTTTGCTCTGATGGACTCTTTGGCAGGAGTTCAGTTTGTGCCCAGCTGAACCAGGTACTGTGGCTCCCCTGATTGTACCAGATCCTTCTGTGGTCCATTGGGCCAGGAAATCTTGCTTCTTTGTCAGGATTAGCTCTGTCAAACATGCCAACAAAAATGAGCCAGTATCTGCTTCACACGTTCATCCCGTCCCAGCGCTCAGCTCATTGGCCTTCTGAAGCCTTGTACAATTTATACCTAGGATGCAGGGCTACATTCCCAGAAATGTAGAGGCAGCAGGGGGGTTACCAGCTTGGCCATGTTTTGTTGAAATTTGAACTGTTGAAGAGGCTCGGGGTGCCATGTGCTGGCCCCGCATGGGCTGGAGCAGCTGTGTGGTGCCTCCCCCCTTCTTTGGGCTGCAGATGCATGTGCCTGTGTCTGGGCCTGGCCTGCAGTCAGCCACCGTGTAGGTGATCCATGCTATTCCTTGCACTTAGCTGTAGCAAGCAATCAACCCATAGGCGTTTGCTGCTATTGCAAATGAATGCTTCTTGCCAGGGCTGTAAAATAGGCTAAGAAATTACACTGGATATTATTTTCTTTTTTTGCCAACAGATTTGTAAATATGAATCAGTAAAGCAGCCTCTCTTCTGTTATAATAATAAATATAATCTTCATGGTTGTCCCTTGTCTTTTTTGTGAATTTCTGGAGCATGATCAAGCCTGCCTGAAGCTGTGGATTTCAGCATGAATGTCAGTGTTCATGAATAACATTTAGGAATCAGCATGATGTAAGCACTTGGAAACCAAGCTGAGGGCTATTTTTGTTGTTCTTAGATCTCAGGCAGCTACTAAGGGGCACTCAATGAAACTAGTAAGAGATCAGGTTAAAACAGATAATGGAAAACAATTCTTTACACAGGAGCAATGAACTTCTGGAATGCCCTGGGATGTGGCGAAGCAGAGGGTATCAGCAGGGTCAAAATTGGTTTAGACAAATTTATGGGCAGCAGGTCCATAAATGGGTAGTCAGAGGATGAGGCAGGGATGTACTGCTAATAACTCTAGTCCAGCAGCTGTGCATGCTGCAAATGGACTGCGGAAGGTGGCCGTGCACACATGCTTCCCCCTGCATAGTCGCTCCTGTTGTTGGAGACGTGGCTCGATAGGCTGTAAGGCAGACCTACCTAGGACATTTCTCATGTTCCAGAGCCAGAGGTTCTCTGGATCTTTCCTCCATCCCCACCCCAAGAGGTGATCTAGGCGCAGTATGCATTGGTGGTTGCAGTCTGCTGTGGGACCAGATAGCTGTGTTGAGCAAGTGTTGCCATGTCTCTCCAGCCAGGTGGTGAAGATTTACCGCTCTGGGTCTCTCTCCCTGGTGCTGTAGATACTCCGGAGGTGATTGCTGCCCTGGGGGCCATGGGAAAGGGCAGTGCACTTCAGGCAAAGCCAGTCAGGGCTGTTCCAGTCACTTCACCAGCAGTTTAAGACAGCCTGCACTAGCCAATTCACTGGGTCTTCACACCAACCCTGATGGCAGGAGAGACAGAGAGGAGGCCTGCAACCTTCAGGACAAGAGTAATGACAAGTGAGCAGGAGGAGGAAGAACAATAGTGTCTTAACTTCATGGTTAAGGTGTCTTAACGTTTCCTAGTTGAATGGCTGAAGCCTAATGTCTGTGTGTTCCCCAAGGTTTTGCTGTGAAATGAGCTGATTTTGGCCAAATCAAAAAAGTCCACAAATCAAATGCCTGAGCACAGGCTCGGAGGCCTGGGCTCAGTCCTGGCTCTGCCTGCAGTCACCTTGGTCTGTCTCATTACCTGGGCTGTTTAAAAAATAAAGGGCCAGACTAGCATCTCAGCTCATAACAAGCCTGTGGTTTGTGCGCAGCTTTCACCAGCAGTGCAGTAAGAAGACCCAGTGTCAAACCACAGCTTGGGACATGGCTCACTTGGCTTCCACACGCTGTAGAGAGGAGACACCTGCAGCTTGTCTGAGACCTGCCACTGGTTCCAAAAGCCTGGGGAAGGGTGTTGTGCTCCAGCAGGGCCAGCTCTCTTGCAGTGCTAAACACTTGCCAGTGGTGTTGAGTCGCCAACAGTTTTACATTTAGCCTTTGCTCAGCCCAAGAACAGAGTCTGGCATATGCCTTCTGCTGTTTCTGTTGTGGCATCCTCTGAATCTGCACACAGAAAAAGTAAAAGCAATTCTCCGAGCTACTGATTGCAGCAGGGTAGCTGATGGATACAGTACCCCCAACTCTGCAGTCCACACTCCACCTCAGCTCCTGAAGAGGCTGGGCAGCTGTCAGGGAAACATGGGTGGATTTTGGGCTTCTCTGGTGTTTTATTGTAGGCGGCAACCATGAAGCCACCCATCTTGCTCACCCACCACCCTTACTGGTAGAGGAGCTTTCTGTGGTCTCTCCTCCCCTTGTAAATGTGAGGGGTCTCTCCTCCTGGCTCACCTGAGATATTCTCCCTCAAAGCAAAGGTGCCCGAGGGCTGCATCGCCTCCCTAAAAAATCCAGGGCAATGGGAGGCTGGTTTTTAGCCTAATCCTCATTAGGCTAATCCAGTGGAGACAGCACTGAGCTGGGGCTCTGGAGAGCCAGGCTCAGTCTCTGGCACACCCATAAATTGCTTGCAGGAAGATCATCTAGGATAAGATAAAGATGTTTTAGCTGCTGAGTGTTGCCACTTTTAGAGCTCCTGTTGTCCTGTAACATTTGTCACCTGCAGTTAATGGTGGAGAGAACTAGGTCTGGGTGCAGGTGGCTGGGGGACTACCTCAAGCTGGAGGAGAGAGATGGGGCCAAGCCCTGGCCTCAGGGAAGCAGCACGTTCTTCATTGTCCCTTGCCAACCCTGCTGGAGTTGAGTACTTCCAGGTGGCCATGAGGGAAACCTTCTGGGAAACGTTGCAGCATCAAGTAGCTCGTCAGCTGGAGTTTTCCTTTCAAAGCATCGGATGCCAGTTCAAGACTCCCCCCAACTTGCAAAGGTTTGAACCTGCATCTCCCAGGGCTTCTCCTGACACCAGCCTCCACCTGCAACTTCCTCAGTCTCACCATCAAAGCTGTTCTACTTTGTCTGAAGTGTTTAATGTTTACTGGCGCAGTAAATGGAGCTCATGTCTCCCTTCCCTGGGGATTGCCTTCTCCACTGGCTATCTGTGGAAGGAATATGGAGGTGTGAAAATATGAGGTGGAATATGGAGGTTTTCTGTGAAAACAGGAGCGAAGCGAGAGCATGAATATTTGGTTTCTGCTGTTCAGGGGTCCCTGGAGAGCTGGATGGGCGGGCTCAGGTGTTCTTAGGCAGATGGGAGGTTTTAACTGAGGTTTCTCACTATGCCAATGCATGCCCCACCTGCTGTTATTGGGGAGGTGGCCTCCCTCTTGGGGTGCCAGCCCTCGGGTGAGACGAACAGCCTCCCCCTGCTCCTTGGTTCTCAGAGCTCAGGCATGAGATGGGCCCCAGCGTGGTGCTGCCAGGCCAAACTACCGATCAAAAGGAGAAACACAGGGGGCTGTGGGACCTCAGCCGCCAGTGCCCAAATCCATAATGGAATTTAGAAATCCAATATTTGGGTTGTCTTACTAACATACTGTTTGAGCTAACAAAATTTTGTTTATGTTTAATTTTGTTTATGTTTACAAAAGAAGGGCTAACAGCTTACGCCAGCTTGTCTCCACTCCCAGCCCCATTTCCCCCATCCTGCCTTGTGCAAAATCTGGTGCTTTCTGAACTCAGCCCTTACCCTGTTCAGATCACAGGCAACAGCAGCAACCAGGTCTCCGCCAAGGGTCACAGGGGGGTTGTGGAGGGCAGGGATGGGGAGAAGAAGCAGGCCCTCTCTCTTTTTTGCATTACCTGTTTACTCTTAGGGCAGGACAAATACACAGAAGAGCACAGGACAGCCAGACCACGTTGCTCCAGGGACCACAGAGGGGCAGATGGCCCCAAGAGGAGGAGGAGGAGGAGATGAAGGGGGGGGCTACAGCTCACCCCCTCCATGGATCAGCACAGCGCATGACCAGGTGTGTTGATGCAGAAGTGCCCATGTGTTTGCATGTCTCCCCCACACCGCTCCATGGATGCGGCTGTGCCTGCCCTGCCTGAGGACACAGGTTGAGGGTGGATTTCCTTCCCTGGAGATATGCAGTGGGTTCCCAGCCTCTCTAGCTGCTCTGGCCAATAAAGCAGGAGCGAGAAACCAGCCTGAGCTATAAACTGCCCAGACACGGAGTGCAGCCGTGAGGCAGGGGCACTAACTTGGCAAGTCCCTCCTCCCCCACCTCTATGTGCACCTTGGGACCAGGCCCAGAGTTCAGCCAGACCTGAGGGGACCTCCAGCAACACCCTAATGAAAGCAGGTATGATCAGGGGTGAGGCACAGCGAGAAGAGCGGGACACTGGACTGGTGCATGCACCTTGGTGTAAGAGGGCAGGGACAATGCCCAGCTGAGTCTGTAAAAACTCCACTGACCTGTGCTGGTCCTCATCTAATCCCCACCCTGGGCAGACTTTCTGCAAAATCCACTTGTGGGACAGTCCCAGGTCCCCTCTGGGAGAGGGGAGCCCAGCCTGGCAGTAGATGAGCTGGGCGCCAGTTCCCCCCCTGCCGATGAGCTGCTATAATACAGACAGCAGTGACCCCGCGTGGGCTGCGCAGAAGGCAGCTGGGGGCTCCCTGCCTCTCACTGGCAGAGGCCCTTGTGCAGGCAAAGATAAACCTCTACAGGCACAGAGCCACCCTCTCGCAGCTGCCGTGCCGGTCCCTTGGGTAGCTCATCAAGGAGGAAGGGAGTGTCTTTTGCATGGGATGACACCAACTGATGCAGAGGCTGGCCTTGCAGACAGCTCTGCTGGAGCTGGTTTAGCCTCCTTTTATAGTCAATGCAAGAGGCATTTTCTCAGCACAGTTCCTCTCATGCTGAAGCACAGGCAAGAGGCTGGTTGGATGTTTTGCCCTTGCCACATGCCTGATTTTCTCTGTTGAGAGATGGGGAGGCTGGCTACAAGCTCAGCTCTCCTGCAGGCGAGGGAAGTGGCAGGGCCTGGAGTGTACTTTCCACCAGTTTAGCTGCCTGTGCTCAAGGCCAGCTCTGTATGGCTGGCCCTGAAGGGGAAGAGCCTGAGATCTTCCTCTTCTTCGGGAGCCATGTCTAAGCACATGCCCTCACCCCTGGCCTCTACCTGAGCTGTGTTAGCCATGCATGTGCCTGGCCATGGACTTCACTGAGCTGGCCTCTGCCCCTGTACTGAGGACTAACTTCCTGGCTTGACCCTGGACCTGATTTGACTGATGATCTGGCCTCTTGGCTGACCCTGGACCTGCTCTTGCAGGACCCTCCTGCACAGAGGCTACACCATGCCAGGGCTGGCACTGCCCTGCCATCACCTTGGCTCCGGCTCGCCTGTCCCGGCGGAGCAGCCTGATCCTGCTGCTCCCTGACAGTAAGTCAGGGTGGGTTTATTCCACCTCTGATGTCAAATGAAAATAAAGATTGTGCGAGTGAGGACAGGATCTCTTTCCAGAGAAGACAAGCAAAGGATTATTGATCCACAAAGCTTAATTTGCCTGCAGGTATATTTAGTGATTTCTTTGATGTGTGGGGAAACATTGCATCCCAACTGACCCAGATTAGCTGAGCGGGTTCTCTTGGAGAGGGCCT